GGACGACATCATCAGCACAAACTTCAGACTTCTATCTGATGATGTCATTCAGAAGAACGATGAAAGCTCCACGACTAAACCATTCAGCTCAGAGAACAAAACTTCATCAAAATCATCCACCTGAGCTACAAATCTTCTCCACCATCTCAAGATTAGAATGTATTATCAATTTTTGCATATTTTCTTAAACTTCATCATGTAGTTCATAAAACTAGAACTTTCTAGAAATAATTTTTCTAAGTTAGAAATTCTAATATTTAATCAAATGTAATAAACAATACTTATATAAATATCTAACAAATAATCAATCCCATATTTGTCTATTTCTTAGTACTGATTATATTCCTTTAACTAGATTTTCAGTGTGGTCACTATGTTAAAGATTGAGATCTTGATGACTGTAAACAACTGGTTGATAGTTTGATTCACAGAATACGATCATTGCTCAGAAACTATTATGTTACTATTATATTGCCGACTAAACTAAATAGTTAAGTTATACATCAACTCATATAAGGCCTGATTAATTGGATAGCATTAATGTAAAAGTGATTCCCAACACATTATGTTAATGAGTACTAACCAGAAAGTAATCACTGTCCGAAACTATCTGATTACATTCTACAATAACCTAATCGGTAATTTCGTCTAATTAATAACTGAAATTGTTTTATTTTAATTAAATATTGAGTTTTCGTTTGCGTTAATAACCGTCTGAATAAATCAGCTTGAATCAGTTAGGTTTCATAAAATCCTTACTTCATTATGATAAATAATTTCTGTTAACATATTTCTGTAATATTATATGTGATAAAATCCTTTTATATTTAAACAAGTTTAGCTTCAATTGACTCATGATTTCAATCAGTGAAATCTCTAAAATCTCCACAAAACCCATTCTGATAATAACTATCTGCTCACTAGTGACTGACTTCAAGAGATACTCCTGGAGTTCTAGTGAGAAGCCGTTACCAGTGGAGTTCAACCAGGTCTGTTGTGAGATATCAGCTCACTGAAGACAATGCTATACGGTGGTGCAACTTCGCGGATTGGTTGAAGTTAGACATTAACACTGTTGGATGCCGGCTCAGTGGTCTAGTGTTTAAGTGTTCGCGCGCGAAACCAGTAGGTCCTGGGTTCGAATTCTGTATAAATTGTACCGTTCTAACTTATATTTCCTGAATTACTTTGTTTAACTGAAAAGTCGTTTAATGATAAATGAATTAACTGTCAAGAGTAAATGTATCAACCATAGCAAATATAATGATCCTCAAGATGTACATTCATACATTATAATAATCCAATCGCTTAAATATTATAAATACCGAAATATAAAAGATTAGATTTGAGAAATTAATGTAAAATCAATGTTTATATGATATAAAACATGGTTTAATACAAATACATCAGTTATATATGACTATTTTCCATACCATTTTTTTTCTTTACAAACGACTATCTAGAAATAATACATAATGTCCTACTTATAAATATAAAATATGTAAAATTCATGTAGTCCGGGGTAGTATTTTCTAGGTATGGTCTGATGATTCACACTTTTTTTATATAAAAAAAAATAATAAATTAAGTTTTCAAAATAGATTCACTAAGTACTAAGACAAACTATCGGCAATTATTTAGTTATGGAATATGATACTGTCACCGTTTGTTTTCAATGTGTTGATATAAACAAAGTAAATACTTGTATGTTTACATTTGAATAATAAAAAATAAATTTGTAAACGTTTTGGCGGTCCTTTTCGTAGTGAATATCTTCGTTACTAACGTATATTTACTGAAATATATATTTTGTTATAACTTTGGTAACTTTAAGTAAATAGTATTTCCTAAAGCAAACGTATAATAAGATGTTTTGGATTTTATATGGGGTATTTCTACTTGTGAACAGTACGAAAACGATATTTTCTCTTTCTAGAACACGTGTTTTAACTGTTCACTCTAGTGGACCAGATTTATATGTGATGCCGGTTAACAAAAGTATGGATTATCAGAAGCTAAGCACTGAGGCTCCACTCATTCAGTAGAGGATACACTTGAATAAATCTATGTTGTCATTTACGAAAGTTATAGGATATCATAAAGGTATTACATAAAGAAGGCATCCAAGCGTGTCCTGACATGTAAATAGGCACTCATATAGTCAGTTGACAGTTGAGACGTCCATGTAAATATAATGCAATATATTTTCCCATCGATGTCTTTGGTAATTAATATCATTAAAAATCTATTTATAAGCGATTTTATTCCGTTGGTGATCGATTGCCTTAAAGATATGAAAGTACGATTGTTTAAATAGTACGGTGTCCCAGTCATTTGAGGTTAGTGAAGTCTCACTCGGCAAAGCCGATTGACTTATCTGGATTAAAATCCGCTTTCCGACTTTCACAAACCCACCCCGCAGACGTAATTTTGTGGGTGAATCGTTGGAATCCTTGCGTATTGATGTGCAGGCGTCGAACCAGGGGCAAGTATAATCTATATGCATGCCGGAAACATAGTTTTTCACCTATGCATCACTTTATATACACATAAGTATACTCACCCACCTGGGATGGTAAATGGTCACCGTTCCCTTCAAATGTACTTACTACCACTGACTATCTCTTACGCACTGCATGCAAATCACTGGTAAAAACTTTCGTGCCTGCAATTCATGGCATGTACATATGTATAAGCACTCTGACAGGGAGTATTGATAGTCACCTATAGCCCGTACTTCCTACCATGTCTTTGACTTGAAGGGTTGGGCCACTGATTTTGTTAGATATAAGGCAGACATTTTTTCAGTTTATGTTTCTTATGCTAACTCACGCGCATACCCTTTACATATCCATACACATATAAACCATACTATTAACCGGTACACTATATATGTACTTATTGTCTTCACGAAGTTTGTAAACCTTCAAGTGACAAAATGAGATTAACTATAAATAATCAGTAGCTATCAGTTGAATACTACAATCAATTTTCTCAATATTTTAAATGCCTTACAGCCAAGATAGGAAGGTTGATGTATTACGAAGAGATTCTAAATTAAACTAATCATGTTCAGTGACTAATTTAGCTTATATAAATTTTCATTATGGAAAAAATGCCACTCATTTTTTATATTCTAATTGAAAGAAATAACTATGAGTACTCTATATACTCCACAGATGTAGTGTTTTTTTTTCGTATTTTCACTTTAGGTCTTACTTACGTTACTTTTTTCACATAAAATTCTGTCTCAGCATTAAATAAAGTTTACTAAAGAATCCCAATGCTATTTTTATACTCACCTTTCCGTCTCAGTTATATAATCCCACTTACTTATTTGTGACTTGAATAAATATTTCATAATACATACTCAAGCAGATATATGGTGAAATCGTCCAAAAATCAAAGTATCTGTACAATGATTCTGGATTACTAATTCTATTTAAACAAAAGAGAATTCACTTATAGAAACAAAACAACGAATTAGTTAGGATCATTTAATCTATGTGTGCACTTCGCTAACATATGCTTACTAATCACAAGATTGCTATCTTCATACTGTTCATATCTACTGAATAATCGCTAAATAACTGCTTTACCATAGAACTTAAGTTTAAAACATGTTTGTAAAACCAACTAGATTATTTCAAAAGTTAAAAAATTTGTTTTAATGTATTAGATTCAGAACCGAAAGATTCACTATTGTCATATTGGGAATATTTCATCACTACTAAATATCTTAACTTTCATTATTAATGAAGACAACTATTCAAAATTATCAATAATTACTGAGATGTTAATAGTTGAATTCGTGAGTCAATCTAAGTTAAACCACCATTAAAAATATGGAAGCATCGGACTGCCGTTTCGTCCTAGCATGAAACTCCCTAGCAGTGCGCGTCCACAATCCCGCATACGGGACTCGAACCCAGGATCCTCGGTCTCATGTGCAAACGCTTAACCTCTAGCCACTGAGCCGGCATCCAAAAGTGTTAATCCATAACTTCAACTGAATTATGATCATGCGCAATCTCCACACACCACCATTCTGATAATAATTACTGATATGACTAAATATTAAAATTCATCATTTCAATTTTTCATTAATGATTTTCTTATAAGGAAATCCTGATCAATACCATTAATAAATAACGGCCAAGAAAAGTGAATAAAACAAAAAAAAATTAAAGCCAATTATTGTTTATCTAAATTAAGTCATTCATATACATACTCAAATGTTGTTATTATTTTGGATATATATATATATATATATGTGTATACATAGATAGATAGATAGATATTTGAGAAATTGAAAATGTAGCCAGTGCTAAAAGTATAAACACATAAAACTGCACATACACAAACACTCGCACGTGAACAAACTTTCACTATTTTTCATAAGTAAACCTAACAAACGCAAAATAGTTTATTCTAACCACAAAAAGAACTTGTTAATTTGTTTCATAAAAGATACTTTAAATAAACAAATCAATTAAACAAGTAAACAAAACGATCATAGCAAAAACTGAACAATTAAACAAGGATAATTTTAAAAGAAAAAGAAAGTGATTTTCTAATATTTCCTTGTTTTCCTTTCTCTTTTTTAAATAAAGAAAAGTGATCTTAAATTGGATTTTCTAGTTATTTATGACATTGACTATATTCATCAATGTACAGGTTAGTTTTCTTCTCAATTTTATGTGTATTCAATAAGTAAATGAATAGAACAATGTGTGAATAAAATGATAAAATAATAGTTCGGAAATTGATTTATCTTTCACCTTCAACAAAAAGAAGCATAGCAAAAAAGAAAAAAAAGAAAACGCTAAACATTCATAAATGCAACAGAGTTCATTAAATGAATACTCTAAAAGTATTCAAAGTACATATATTTCATATATTGTTAATCTAAATAAACGTTTAGAAATGAAATATTCCTGTATAGGATTATATATATATATATATATATATATATATATATATATATATATATCACTTACTCATGTACATAATTATAAAGAGATATATAAAGAGGAAACAAGTTGTAAGAACACCATTTAAATCAATAAATATTTTATAAACACGAACTGTACAATCGTATAAAGTTCATTTTGTATTAATAATATCTAGCGTTAGTATTATATATGCATATAGAAAGAGAATATCGCATAGATCCAAAGAACCGAAAAAAAAACCAAAAATTTATCCAAATATCCTACTTATCCATCAAAATCATCGCTAATACGATTGTTTTAAAAAAAAGAAACTGAGTCATGATAAACATTATCAATTGGCTGAAGAAGAACAAAAGAATAAAAATTTTTCTTATAGGGTTTAAACCTACTACTGAATAGGATTCCTTTGTTTGTTTGTTTATTTTTTGCAACAATCTAAAAGTGTTCAATATTTAAGTATGAAAATGATAACCAATATTGTGTACAAAAAAATGACTGCCTTTTATTTCGGATGTAATGAAAAGCACACATTTTTGCAAAACAAACAAAATACACTTTTGAATAAGAGATTATCACTGGAAAACAACTGAAATCCTAATAATCAATTGGGTTTTTTCAAAAAAAAACACATCTAAAATTGTTCCATTTACAACATACGTTCTGATGTAAGTGTAGTAAATATATGATCAATTTTTGGTGGTGATAATATTCCATTAGGAGTTGTAGTATCATTTGTATTATGCAAAGATCTATTATTGATTGTCATAGAATTACTTTCATTTGCATATGAATTTTGATGATAGTTCACTCCAGAATGTAAAGAATCTGAGAAATGGGGACGTGAAACTAACGGTCTTGTTCCACCGCCACCATTGCTATTATTGTAATTAGGTGTAATATATTTGCGCATTCTAGATGCAGTTCCTGTATTACCAACCTCTGTTGAATAACCATTGACATATTCATCATCCAGACTACCAATCATTTCACCATTTTGTAAATTAAATTTGTTAAGTGATAAAGTAGTATTATGCCATTCTGCCTGACTGGATGGATATAAAGAAGATGTAGTTGTAATACTGTCATTGATACAAGAAGAATTAATAAATGACTGTGACGGTGGTACTACAATTGATGGAGATAGTTGATTGAATATTTGTCGCCCAAAACTATTTGGACTAGTTATCAAACGATTTTGATGAAAAGTCTGTGATTGCTGACGAGATGAATTTCCCAAATAAGCAGAATCAGAATTTACAATTACATCGTTACTATTATTGTTATTGTTATTAAAATCATAAAATCCTGATGGTGGTGTGATATTTACAAAATCCCCTTCAGAATCACGATTTAAATGATGTATTGCTATGTTGTGAGAATCTGAATATATATTAAAAAAAGTTATGACATAATATGAAAGTATGCTTAATAGTAAATAAACAGGAATAATATAACGATAAAATTATTACTCTATAAAACCACTGAGCTACAAGTTTGAACCCTGCTCTGTCTGTGTTTGTTTGAATAGAGATTGGATCATCAGCTAATGGCTGAAACTCATGACTCAAAGGTAAAAAGACAAACGTACGTTCATGGTTATCGAGTTACATTGTCGATAATATATACTTATAATGTCAAAAATCTCAATTGTATGACGACCACGTGTTTTACTTGTTAAAAAAATTAGACAAGAATAAATACCAGAGAATTTATGAGCTGATTTGTACGTTGTGTTGATGTCACTATCTGGTTAAAATGGTTTATTAATGAACTAAAATAAAATGAAGATCCAAACAAAATGTCGAAAAGAGAACTTGATATGTAATATGACTTACAGCTATCGATTATTTAGCTTCTGATGGGGCTATTTTTATTAAAACAATCAAAAAGCCATCTTTCATAATCATTATACTCATAGAATTATCTGACTTTATCTAGCAAACCACCAACCAAGTCTTCAGCATCAACTAGATTTTACCTGTCAAAGTCGGAGTTCAATCTATTATGAACTCGTCGTTGTGAATTGTTCATAATGATTAATGCTGAATCAGGTATCTGTTCAGCTCTCCCCAACCCTGAATGGTTTTAGAAATGAGATCAGTATATCATGAAAGGCATCTTTTAACTGAATAAATTTTTCTAAAATATAATTTACCTACCTACCTCCGTTTAACCAATTCAACTGTATGCCCTCCATAAATAGTTATTAATAAAACTATCCAAAATATTCCTAGTCAATTCAAACTAACAAGTATGATTTCGTATTTGTTTCATAATTTTTAAATATTACAAAACGAAATTAAAGTTTCACAAATCACTAGAAATCATTTAATACTTCTTTTATTCGTCTTTTAAAGTAAGGGCCTGACAGAATATTACTGATAAGTGCATATATATGTGTGAGAGTTTCCATTTTCGGCCAATGAAAATAATGTAAGTAGAATATTTTCTGTAATCTCGTGAAGTTAAAGTGGAACGCTAATACTGGTAAGAAATTTAATTACATTTAATCGAATGTTTCAACAGTTGAGGTCATGAGTCAATTGAAGCTAGACCACCATGGAAAACCTGGAAGCACTGAACGGCCGTTTTGTCCTATTGTGAAACAATGGTGGATGTGTCGCTCATTTTCGTGGATTGGTTGAAGTTAGACATTAACATCGTTGGATGCCGGCCAGCTCAGTGGTCTAGTTGGTTAAGCGTCTGTCGCGAGACTAATAGGTTCTGGGTTCGAATCCCTCAAGGCGGGGTCGTGGATGCGCACTGCTGAGGACGAAACGGCCATCGAGTGCTTCTAGGTTTTCTATAGTGGTCTAGCTTCAATTGACTCATGATCTCAACTGATGAAATTACTACAGTCCCCAAAAAACCCTTCTGATATTAATCGAATGTTGTTTAATGTATTTTAATTTGCATTTTTGAATAGTATATGATAAAGATTAGGGTCAAGTTAATTTGAGATAATTTAAAATGTCATGATATATGTATATCAATAAGTCATTATTGAGGCAGAAGAATCTAAATTGATCCAACAGCATCAAAAATCAAGGTTTCCATAAATTAATAAATCCGTTTCTATAGTTTTGAACTCCCAAATGAAAAATATAACTAAGAATAATGAATTCATAATATCGCTATTCATTAAATCTCCTTATTCATTAAAAATAAGTACTATCATGCAAGAAGTAAATGATAAAGTTTCTTTCTTATTATAAAAGACTGTCCAAAGAAAAATAATTCCATTGATCACTTCTTTTATTTTAAATTTTAACAGTTCTTTAATTTAATGTCTCTAGTTATTCATTCAACTGGACGTTCTTTAGCATGAAGATTTTAATGTTCATTGGCTTAGGATGTGACAGTGGTCTTATTTTTAACATAACGATGTCCTACAATATTCCATTGCTTATAAATCAGGTTTTGCTACGGTTTGTAATGAAGTTTAATCACAGATATTTCATAAACACCAGTGACCAGTGGTTTGACTTTATATCTAGTTATGTAATCAAATAAGCTCACTCTTGCAACCAGTAGCATGGGAAATATTAAGGCTAAAATTAGTGGAGTTGTATTCAGTTTCAAAAGGAACTCCCTTTATATAGTACCGGCCTAAATTCACGAAAAATGGTTGACAACTAGATTTTAAAGACATCGAGATTATATTTATTAACCTAGGTAAACCAGAAAGCTTCCTCAATTAATTGCAATTTAATTAGGTTAGCTCAGTTATGAGGTTGTTTTCGTTACTAAATGAATTCAGATGAAGAACACACAAAAACCAAAGAGTACTGAAGAAGTGTTTCATTACAGTTTACGGCTACTGATAAATTTCCACTCACAACCCTACATAGATTGAAACCAACATCTCTCATGTCACGAGGTGGGTGCATTACCTTCGTACCACCGAGTTATAATTTATTGGTCTACACTTCTAACTTCTCTAGATTAGTGATATGGAGAAGCAATAAACTAATCTTGATCTGAGGTTAATCCACGGCGAAAAATAACATGATACCTGTTATGTACGGCCAGTTAATGAAAGTCGGAAAAGTGAAATCTGTAGTTACAAACCGGTAGTTAGTGTCCTGATAACATGTTTATCAAAAACGTTGACAGTTACATGGTTCAATTTGTTAAGATATCAATAGTTTTCGTTGTTTAGAAGCCATAAACTTAAAAGAGAAGAATGTTTAATACTATCTGGGTTTCGATAGTTTCCATTAATCAATGACTTACTAACATAGTTTATACTGATGACTAGTTCTAATCATAAATGTCGGGGTCTTTTGTTTCAAAATATTCAGATTTCAGTCTTGAAAATAAACATTTTAACTTCACTTTTTTCAGTAAACTTTTTTTAACTTAAAAATATTGACAGTTTTTTTCAAAACGTAACTTTATTTAAAAATCCTATGTCCCTTTCTAATTTTCTTGTGACTGTACTTTTCACTAAACAAATACACTAATATTTTAAGCAGTACAGTTCGTCTCTCAAATATCATTCAAAATGCCTGTAAATGAACTTAAATTACAAACTTATATTGTATAGATTTCATTCATTTTCTTTCCTAAATGAAAGTGTTTTCATTGAGCATTATTGTAATATGTTACTTGTATATAGTTGGTCTGTGTTAGATTATTCAAAATCATTTTTCTTTGTCAAATTAATTTATTCGAAATAACTCAACTAATATATATATTTACATTAAGTTAGGGTATTAGATTTCTGGAAGCTATGAGGAAGAAATTTTGGATCTAGGCTTCATTCTGCCTGACACTAGTCGATAAGCCATATTTAAAGTTTCGTGGAAACTAATGATTCTTGGATGATTCGAATTTGTGTCATCCAGCAGTCGAGTCAGATGTATCACTGTTAAGTCATTCGGATAATGGTTGAATTTCTGTAAGACTGAGATATTCACAGTTGATTGGTCGATAAATAATAACTAATATCATATTTGTTTAATATATAATGTACTAGTCAAATATGATACTTTACATCCGTAATCGATGTAGCTGAAGTCAACTTTGAAGTTCTAGTGTAGAATGGAATGCCGGTACTCAAAGCAATAAATCAAAATGAGTGTATTCATGTAACAAATATTCATTCCACCCGCTTTATTGAAAAAATACAACTGCATATATATATATATATATATATATATATATATATATATATATATATATATATATATATATATATATATATATATATGGTATCCCTTATTCGATGTTCTTTAAGATTCTTGATAAATAACATCACTAGAATTTCAGTGGTTTCATATATTGATAAGTAAAACTGAATACAACTCAGTGGCCAGACATATATATTCGTGGATTGGTCGAAGTTAGACATTAACGCCGTTGAATGCCGGACGGCTCAATGGTCTAGTTGTTGAGCGTTCGCGCACAAGATCGAAGGGCCTGGGTTCGAATACCACGAGCGAGACCGTGGACGCGCACTGGTGAGGAGTTTCACAATAGGACGAAACGCCGTCTAGTGCTTCCAGGTTTTCCATGATGGTCTAGTTTCAAATGACTCATGAATTCAACTATTAAAAAATATATTTGTACAAATGTGCAATCCATCGACAGCTTTTAATTTTAATCGTCATCTTTTTATGTAATAAATATGTTTGATAGTTAAAGCTATATCATGTAATCTAATTATTAATGGGAAGAAAAGTTTTTATGGCTAAAAACCTTATCAATTCCAATATCTATGGACAAATGAATACGAGACTATACTTGAATGCTTAAACTGGGAATAATAAATACATCATTATTGCTTATCGTTACAGGTTAACAATGTAACTAATATGATCTTTTGTCTTAGATAATATATATAGTGGACTAATCATAAGCTAATAGGCATATGTACATACGATCACACGAACACATGTGTACAATAATCTACATAAGCCACAAAAACAAAATATCTCCATTTTCAAATGGACGACAGAATTAAATTGATTCATGTAACTTTTATCCAGAAAGTAAAGTGTCTACAATGGGAATTTGTAAGTTCCTATGCTAAATATGTTTAATTTTTCTATATTTATAGATATGGGAAAATAATTAGATGTGAAAAAGTCTATATTATAAGCATATATCTATTTACTCCCTGTAAATGTTATATGTTCCCTCAGTTATGATGTGTGTCAATACTTAGTAAGTGAAGTTTGGTAAGTTAATTACGGAAGTTACAAATGCTCTGACAAAAAAGTGTGGTAACAGCTTTGTATTTACATTTGGTAACTGAAAACTTCTGGGTTGATATAATATTACTGAGTGCCCACAAGCGTTTCATTTGATGTTGATAAATTTACAATAATGCACAACTAAAACACACAGTCTAAGAAGCCTCAAAAAAGGATAATTTTTGCAATAGATAAAAGTGGAGTTGTAGGTGTGATAGAAAACAACTGTGAAACACGGAGCATGAGTATTAATGAGACCAATCCAAAGCTATAGTGTATCTAGAATGAATGTATACACTTAAAGTAGGTTCTTTTCAAGTTATACTAATCGTTAGACAGAATATATAAAACCGCACAACATAACAAGTGCAAATATGATTATATATATATATCAGATAAATTTAAAAGTACCTGAACTAAAACCATTGAAATTCGTACAATGATCCGATTGTAAACTGGATAAAATTTTATTTGCTTGATTGCCTAAATAATTCATATCACATCTGCTTTCAACATCATCCATATTTATTGGACTATTGGAATTAACGAAACCATTTTGAATATTGCTTTGATTATTATTATTGGCGTTAGTAACATTATTATTGTTACTATTATTGAAATATGTTCCGTCGTTAACTTTCCGATTATTCACATGTGTCGGTGAATGTGAATAGCCTGGACTGATACCACTGCCTCTACCACTATCTGAATAATTATATCCATTTGGACAAGTTTGAAGATAGACAGTTGTTGTTGATTCAGTTCCATGTTGACCTGCATTAGTATTACTTACAACCATGGCAGGTATAATATTTGAAATTGTTGCATCGGAAAAACTAACCACCGGTCCAGGACGATAAACAAAATTACCTTGTTCTATTCCTGTAGTAGTATTATTATTAGCACCTACGGTACCAGTAACACCTGAAACACTAGAACCTTCACTTGTACTTCGTCTTAAAGCGTCCTGTGTTGAGCGTTTTGGACGAAGACGAGGATTTCGAAATTTTCCATTTGTTTGATTCCAAGTTCCACTACTTCCATCTACCGTGTTAGTTAGTTGTAAACCTCCAGACATCTCGAGCATGCAGTTAGGTGTATTACATCCAGCACTTAATAAGGTCGCTTTATCAGCCCCAGAACTTAAAGCCACATAAAGTGGAGAACCAATTTTGTTGCCATTTGAACCCCATCCACCTGAATTCAATGTCCCACCTGTATATAATGTATTCCCATATCCACTTCCACTTTTGACAGAACCATTTCCATGTGGTGACATTGTATTTATAAATGGCTGGTGCGTTTGTAGCCCTAAAGGGCCACATACTGCTGCCTCTGCGGCCATTTGACGAACAACCTCCGGCGGACAACGACATCCAAAACGACATGTACCTTGGCAACGCCTTCGACTATACAGCCTACGGATGCGACATATATACAACCATGTTATAATAAGTACGATTATGAGTACCAGACATAGACAAGCCAAAGAAACGGTCGCAAGAAACCAATCTTTCGGTTCAGTTCCAGATAAAAGTGCATCCCAAAATGCAGAACCACTACGTTCATCATTTCTATTGCCAAATAAATTGTTAGCAGCACGACTCTGTGAATTAGATGGTGATAAGTTAGATAGATTATCTGAATTGTTTAAAACTGTTGATAATGTTGTTATTGTCGTCAATGGTGTGGTTGTTGTAATAGGTTCTGTGGTAGTTGTCATGATTGGTGTTGGACATTTAATTGATTGAACGCACAGTACATATTTTGTTTCAGATCCAGCTTCAATCATTAAACCAGGTTCATTTTCTCTAGAGGCTAAATACAAAATTGTAGTTCTAAAAGTGAATCTTGAAAATTTATCTGCCAAAGGGAATTCAATTGTTCCATTTAACCGTCTGCTTTTCACTAACTGTATAATAAATATTAAAAAAACAGTAAAACAGTTTAAATTAATATAGTCAACAAATATAAAACGTGCATATCATTTACTTGATTTGACCACTTTTTACAGTAAACTAATAATAGAGGAATAGTATATAATAAAGAGGAGTAATGGTGAATTGTAGCATGTTGTTTCGGCACTATACAAATCCCATGAACTAAACACTTATTTACCAATAGAATTTAAGATCATACTCTAGAGAAAATATGTTTGTTTGAAAGTTAATAGATCTGTTTGTGAATCGGATTAAATGAATGTAACCAATAATGACAATTATTATCATTTATTTAATAACTCTTCATGTATGTTTTATAAAAAATATACTAGATAATCTTAAATATCGTTAAGTGTTTGGTTTCAAATAATAATAAATGTATATTGTAATTAAAGGAGATTATGATCAAGTCAAAATGTAACATAATTAGCATAAATGTAAGTTGTAATTTAGATAAGATTAATCAAAATGGTATATGCTTCAGAGATATCATTTCAAGTTCTAGCCCTGCATGTTCAAGCAACATGTGGAATCTCTTATTCTTTCATGGCCCTAACATACCCTTCAAGTCTATTTTTTGTAAATACTAGTTGCTTTTGTCTCGATTGTTTATCAAGGTTAATTATTGACTCCTTAGATTTCTCCAAAGATGAGATTATTTTTTAAAATATCCTTTATTTTTGTTCTTCATTCCCTCCATCCATCTGAAAGTTTACAGCGGTTTAGTGTATTTTTTCTATATCGACCATATATATATATATATTTGAAATTTAGCATGTGACATAATGTTTATGTTTATATGATGCGATAAGATATGACTACTAATGAAGAAAGATAAACAGTAGGACTGGAGGAGATATATTAATTCAGATTAAATGTTATATACAGCATCAAATAAACGTTTTTGGTTTTTTGTAATTTGTGTTTACATAAATAACTCTCTAAACATGACAAATATATAAAAAGGGGAATATGAGGTTAGGATATTTCAAAGTTTATTTCACTAAATAATTTTATATATACTATCTTCCTTATGGGTTTATGGAGATGGTTGAATTTCATTGGGATTATGAATCGATCAATGCTAGAACACCATTGAGAACCTGGAGGCACTGGACAGCCGTGGTGAAAGTTATCATGGGCCCATTAGTCACTAGCTTCGATAGGTAGTTCACAGAGTTTCATCGAGTAGCTGTGACTAGTGAAGATCAACCGTGTCAAGCGTGAGGCAGTTATCCACCTAGAACAATGCAAGATAGTGTGTAATATCGTAGATTGATTGAAGTTAGACGTTAGCACTGTTGAATCACGGCCCAATGACCTAGAGGTTAATCGTTCGCGCGAGACTGAAGCTCGTGGGTTTAATTCCCGCATGAGGGATCGCGAGTAAGCACTATTGAGGGGTCTAATATTGATCGTTTGAAGATTTCGCTGGAATATTTACTATCATTAAATTGCTACATGGATGTACTTCAATATTAAAATGCTTCAACATTTCCATTGGAACCCATACTCGGTAGTTATTGTATCAAATTATCAAAGTTTCAGTGAATAAAAAACAAGTCTGTAGAATAATATATAGTTCAAAAATGTGTCTGAAGTAAAATTACCCTGTTGTGCTTTCTGACTGCAAGATTATCTAAACAGTTAAAGTTAATAAAAGATGGATAGTACCTAAATGTGGAATCCAGGACGCGCGTTTCGCCATATTTGGGACTCGTCAGCTGGATGTACCTGCATCTCAGAGTTGATGTTCACTCCGGGACTCGGACCCAGTACTGTTTGCTTCAAACGCCATTGCGTTATCCACTTAGCTACAGAGTGCTGACAGCCACCAGTATATATATATATATATATATATATATATATATATATACTGTTCTTGTAATAATTATTTTGTCCCACCCATTTCTTTTCGTTTTATTATGGTTCATGTAAAAACAGTAAATTAAAATATATGAGTGGGATTTATTTTATGTCCCAATAATTATCATACTGTTATGTTGTTTCTCATATGCAATTCTATAACTCTAATAGGTATAAATAATATAAAACAATGAAAATTTAAACGCAGTCGATTCTTCTGAAAAAGGTTTCAGCAAATCAAGAGCGATGATGTTTGTAGATTTTACATGTTGATTGTATTTCGTTGCTTTCCCATAGACGTATACACTAAATTCAAATTCCACTACAACTATGTTTTCCATACAACCTGTTACGCACTAATGAATAGTTAACAGTGCGATTGCTAAATACGTTAATATTTAATGAAATTTCGCTCTTTTCAGACTTATTAAATTGTGTATAGCTAATGAAAAAGCAAAGAAACAATGAATTTGTTTTAATCTGCGACCATTGCTGTCCTCATAATTTACTAGTATTTAATCACAGATATCTAAGAAACATTGCTCGCATCTACTGGGATCACAGGGTAAGTAATAGTGAGGTTAGACTCAAGGTATTAGGAAATGATGGTAAATCAGTTGTGCCTGGTCCCACGTTATAGATGACTGACTAAATAACTGCTGTACTCCTATTGGTTGAATGTTGTGTTTTATTCAGTGTGATGTTTTGTCTTTTCTTACTGCTGATTAAGTTCTATCGAAGTGGACACAAGCTTAAGTTACTTGACATGTTTCGATGCTAAGCCTCTTGAGGATCGCCTCCAACCACCCAAGAATATTGTTCTCAGTTGGTTTGAATTAGAAATCATTTAAAAATTTGAAGTTTGATTTACTTGTTCTATGAAATAAAATTACTAATGATTAAACAGTATTTTCTATCATTTGCAAAGATTTTCGGTTTCAGATATGATTAAACAGGACAATATTCAAAGGCCATATGTTCATGAAACAAATTATTTAGTGAGAAAATTTAATACTACTCGTCGTTAGAATGATGTAATTAAAGGATAAGAGGAGCTAAATAAGCAAAAACTAATAAATCTTAAAGTAGAAAAGTATCTGCTAGCAGTAATACAAACTAAATCGTCGTAGCATTAGGGTTTAAAATGTAAGGGGTACTTAAGACCTATTTGAATATAACTATTGAGACTTTCATGTAACCAAACGAGAGACAATAATGATTGGGAATCACAGTATATAATATTTCACCATCTGTCTAATATTTTATACTACAAAACAATTAATATGAGCATCTGTCAAATTTATCTAAATACTTTACGTGTTTAATGTAATGACTGAGTTGCATGATCAGTTATCTAAAGTTCCATATATAGATATTATCATTCATATTTAAACAAGTTATTCTGCTAAATCCGTGAGAAAAGACAAATAATGAGTTGCAGAATGTTTTTCTAAACTTAATACTTTATTAAAACAGCAGTCTGTATATCTACATTAAAGAATGACACTCATTTGCAATCGACTGTTCACTGAGCAGGGATATATGTCATGTAGGTAAAGTCCATCTTACTATTGATCGAATTCTGTCGATCATGGTAATGTCTCTGACTGTGAAGCTGGATGACACGGAATCAGATCCTCCAGGTAACATCACTTTCCTCAAGATTACAAGTACACTTTGTTGATGAGCACCAAGTAACACGAAACCTAGGTCTAGAGTTTCCTGTCATCTACTTCTAACCAGCTGCTTACATCTCGAATGATACTCATAGATAAATCAGTAATCTATTCAAGTACTACAGTAATGTCAATACAGACTTCAGATTTCGGTGTTGTTCAATAATCTAAGCTAAATGGTTTAATTTTGGAGCTTTAATTTTTCTTCTGGACAACATTAATAGCTCTCACTTCAGTTAGAAGTTATCTTCTTAGTTATATCACTAGCCCTAAAACAGTCTACTCTAGACGAAAAAATATACTTTATCAAAGGAATACTAAGTGGAATTAATTTTTCTTATGGTTAGATGATAAGTTTTCAACAATATTCACCTGTAGAAATATCCTGTAGACAAGCGCATTAATTTCTTATAGATAGGTATATAATAAATATCAGACTAATAATTTCCAAAAATTATGTTTATTATATGATACTCAAGATACTAGAAATTTCAATGGTATAAGTTAGATGAAGATGTTATATTTATAGTTTAGCTTTCAAGTTGATCTTTATTAGACCCGTCTTTAACATACAATCATATTTATGCACTTATATAAAATACGGCGAACTAAACTATGGGAAAAATAATACAAATGTATACTATTTAATATTCCTTACTGAGTTGCAATTCATTAATACCCAAAATAATAACTAAGATTTAAAACATCTAGACTAGTTATGATGAAATTTTGTCAAAGAAGTTTTGCAATTGATGTATAAAATTCATGAACTTTCAGTAACTTGTATATAAATCCAGGTCATAACAAAAATATTTTAGAATCACTATTGACGTCTACTTACTAGAAACTGTCATGACCTCCAAAAATGTAAACAGTGAATAATTCAAATTCACCTGGTATTGTTTTACTTGAATCGTCATATTGGTGTTTTAGGACTGAAAATGATAAGTCTCTTATTAGCATATGTGCATACTGTGTGTATCAGGACTCAATAGATAAGTGGATAAGACAATGGCGTATGAAGCAAACAGTACTGGGTCCAAGTCCAGGAGTGAACACCAACTCTGAGATGTAGGTACAACCACTGACGAGTCCCAAATAGGACGAAACGCGCATCCTCGATTACACTGCTAGCCACTATCCATCTTTGCTTATAATGAATGATTTAAAGTTATTCAGATACAATATAAATATAACTTTCTAACTTGCTTATTATCCTACAGTTCAATTATCCATTATAAAACACCTAGTATTACAGTTTGATCAGTCTTTTGGTATCCATTTTTAATTGAACATTTATTAACTGCTCAAACTTCTATTTCATTATTATTTAAACGAAACAACTAAGGTCATCTTAGGATGTGAATCTTGCATACACCTAGGCATTAGTTTCTCATTCATAAAAAAAAAACGAATAAATACTACTAATA